TGTGGTCTGAAGTAACCTTGTACCGGAAAAAATAATACATATGTTTGCTTATCTAGTAGTATAACATATCGTAACTATAGTATGTTATTGTATTGTTGCTGTTGTTATTGCTGTGAATAAAGTGTAATGGTAGGGACTGCGTCAGAAAAGACATAATGTCTAATAATTGTCTGTCTGTTATGTGACATTGCATATTTATGCAGTAGTAGTTGAGTAGTTAGTTGAGTAGTCAATGTTAGCTGTGTCAAAACATTGTGATATTACTGTTGCTTGTAGGAACTTTACATTAAATAACAGCTGTTGGTTTAGAAATTTTACTTCAAATAGGACGACCTAAGAATGTGACATGAAGCTGGTATACGGCAGAGTCAGAAAGAAGAGTGAAGAAGAAGTCTTGTCAAAAGATTGATTTGTTTTTTTGAATAACAGAAAAATGTAGTTTTTTTTGTGTTAAAAATCTGAAGTCATATGATGTGTGAACATTTCCATAGTCTGGTGGAAAAAAGTGAAGTTAATAATCAGTTGACAAATATGTCTTACCCAGAGCCGTTGAATATTCATGCTCTGGTCTCACCCAAATACACATTCATTCAATAGTATAGCACATAGCATAAACAGTCACATGATGTTAACAGTTCAACAGTGCAAAATGTCCTTTATTAAAGACAGTGTATGGCCTCAGTTATGAGTTGTCCAACAAGTATATGTTATGCATAATTTTCGACATAATCCATTGTTTGGCACTGACACGGCAGAAAACAAGGTGAATTACTGCGCCACCTTGTGGCTATTCGCCAAATACACTTGATTTAACAAACACATGACTGAACTCGTTCTCATAATGGACAGCCATTCAGATTACACATCATTAGATGTTACATAATGACTGCTGGCAGCAAAATCGAAAATAGAGAGTAAAGGGGAAAATACCTCAAGGAAATCAAAGATGTAATGACTTTGTTCAATGATTCAGGGGAAATATAATTGTGTTTATAGCCCTTGTGGTTCAAGGGTCATTAACAGACGTACAAATAAGAGAAGGCCTACCAAATCTTACACAAAGATTTTACAGTAGGCCTACACAACAGAAATGTGATTATTGTACATACAGTAAACTCACTTTCCACTCTCTTTAAATCATGATTGTCATTATTATTTGTACACGTTTAGTTACTGTATTTTACCAAATAAAAAAGACAACGTCAATGTTTCCCAACCCTGTTCCTGAAGGTACGCCAAACACTACACATTTACCAGCACTTCCAACCTCATCCCAATCAGTTCGTCACCTCTTCAGATGAAGGAAATATCAAAAACATGCACCGTTGTTTTGCCTACAGGAACAGTATTATTGAGATCTATTGTCAGATCTTATGCTGGTGCAGTCCAGGGCCTTCCTGGTGCATGATTATGCCCGGCCTCATGTGGCCAGAGTCTGTAGGCAGTCTCTGGATGATGAAGGTATACAAGTGAAAACAAGTACTGTGGAGAGGCAACAGCAAGGGTGGTCTGGGGAGGACCATCGTTAGAGTTCTCACAGACCTCCACATGCTATGAAGTATCGGGATGAAATTGATGCCATTGACTGACCCTCACATTCTCCAGACTTAAATCCAGTTTAGAACCTCTGGGATCTCATTTATCCAAAGCCATCAAGTAGCACTATAGACTGTCCAGGAGCTCACTTATGCTCTGATCCAGGTCTGGGAGGAGATCCCCCAGTACACCATGTGCCATCTCATCAGGAGTATGCACAGACATTGCTGGGAGTTCATATGGGCACGTGGGGCCATGCACATTACTGATTAACATTAATACTTTTAATGTACTTTACTTGTTACTGTAATTCCTGCCCTGAATGTGTTTATGATTTTGGCTTTCATTGATCATTGTCACATAATTTTTTTCCCCACAACAATATGCAAAATATATAAGTGAAGAGTTTTAACCTGGATATTTCATTCATTGAGATCTAATAATTAAATCTAAAAAGAACATTAAGGGAACATCTAAAAAGATTTAGGTGTTCCCTTAATTTTTTATATACAGTCTATATAAACAAATAAACAAATTTTTCTTTATTTCCTAGTGTCTAGTGGATTTATGAAAACAAAACTTTTTCAAATAGTAGTTAGTTTGGTATTCATTTCTTATTGCATAAATGTTTTATTAAGATCTTGTTTTCTTTGCATCTATTCAAACTTGGTTTGATAAATATATCAAACTGTGTGTGTGTGTGTGTGTGTTTTATATCCCAAATTAAAACCTTACTTAGAGCACAACAGTAAGTAAAGATAATCATGATGATAGTTAATATCCAGACGTTCATCCACACGTACGTAAT